CATATACTTTTCTACACTGGAGGAAATCGACCATGAACAAGACCAACTTTCTCAGATAAATAAAACTTCTTACTGACCAGAGTCCTCCTAGAGGCCAGTCTTGAAAGCTCTTTACCAAGGGCCTTAAACTGGGCAGGAATGTGCTGGAATCTGGCTGGGTAGGTGGAAAGGACTATAGTTGAGGGATGTAGCAGAGCCCATGGCAATTTGTGAGCAAAGATATAAACTCCACACTCTGAAGGAATAGACACCATATCTATTTCCAGGACATAAGATAGTACATTGTTGTTGAAACAGACTTATAGCTGACCCCCAGCTGGTTTTCAGAGGCACTAAATCTCATGGGAGGAGAATGCCCATCTCCCTCCTCTGAAGTAGCTGGTGGATTCAAACCATGTGGCTTTGGGATTGTAGGGCAGTATCTTATCACAAGGCCACCAGAGCTCCAATATGGTATATGGCGGGAGGGTGTTTCAATTTTGTTGATGTGCAAACCAGAGAAACAACCCAAACCCAAGGCTTCCTATCATTTCTCAGGAGTTGTTCTTGGCAAAGGGCTGTAATGGATTCCAAACCCTGAAGCCACGTCCCAGCCCAATTCACCACCCAGCGGGTCTGGAGCACAGACAGGCAAGAAGAGACTTCAACTGAGCAAAGCAGTGGCTTTAGCACCAGCAAGAGGCCGTTGTTACATTTCCACCAGCGGCCTGAGCTTCGCATTACTTAGCAAACACATTCCCCTATGCGAGTAAATAAGAGTGTGGCATGTGTGGGGGCAGCAGCGTTTGACCTCAACGAGTGGGAAGAGCATCAACAGCACAACACTGATTCCTGTGAGGTCTCACCTGCTCCCACATTCCTGTACATTTCTCATCCAACACCAGCTTTCCTTTCCACAGCCTTTGCTATTCTACTGCCTGACCCACTGCCATCACTAAGTCAGACTCACAGTGACTCTTCATCATGTTTCTAAGGCTGTACGTCCTCACAGGAGGAGGCTACCCGTTCTTCTTCTGAGGAGCACCTGGTGCATTTGAACTGCTCATTTTTCAGTAACACAGTTCTAGGTTTGCTAATTCCCTCTAAATGGCCACACAGAATTCACAGACCATATTCACCATTATGGAGTTTATTTGGGAACTAACAGGTTGGAAATACTCAGACTACAATCCTTCAGTCGGAACTGTCTCTTCTCAAACAGGCCTCCCTCTGATCCTTGGGCCCAAGACCCTAGGCCCTGCCCTGCATTCTTGCAAATTTTGCAAAGCTCTCTTAATTCTGCCAGTTGTATCCCCCTAACCCCTTCTCCAACAGTAAACTTAAGCTAAGGTACTCGGCTCTGGGTCTGTGGGGTGGCAGATCTAGACTAGCTCTGTCATTCTGTTTCCCCATTACTTTTGGGGCTGCCATCTGCACTGTAGTGTCAACATCTCTCTCTTTTGCAGGAATCTCAGCCCAAAGAACACGATGTGCTATTTGCTTCTTTCTTGATGGTATTTAGAGTCCCATTTCCCTTCATTTAAAAGCCTGATGAGAAGATAAAACTGACCAATCTATTCCCTCATTAGCATTTTATCTACCCCAAAGGTGTTATTTACATTATGAGTAAATTATACAAACACCTAACATTTTCCTAGCCCTGCTGCTCTGCAATCTTGAAGGCCACCAGCTGCTCCGCAGGAAGATAGGCAATCCCTTCTTGTGCCATTAACTGCCTCTGAAATCCCGCCAGAGGGTCAGTTATGGGTTAGTGTCAACTCCATAGTACACAACAACCACCCAGCCAAGGGAGCTCTAGTTGCCTAGTGGTAAACTGCACTGCAGTCCCAAAGGTTTGAATCCACCAGCTGCTCTGCTGGAGAAGGATGGGCAATCTCCTCTCCTGTGTGATTTCCTGCCGGGTCAGCTATGGATTGATTCCAACTCAGAGGCACACAACAGCAATCTAGCCAAGTGGTAAGAGTTACACCTGCAACAGATAGAAGAGACATCTTGACTGATCCACTATAGCATAATGAGGATTTTTTGTTTGGTCTGGATCTTCCAAGCCCATTTTGAGACAGTCATAACAGAGTTTCTCGTTGCCATTTTACAAATTATTTAGGCCAAGAATAGGTAAGCAGGTGTTGAAGAATGATAAAACTGATGTTCCCTAACAGCTAATCTCTAGCCACATAAGCTGTCCCACTGGACGTAGGTCAGGCCTCTCAACACTGAATCAGTACACATTGGCCACAGCCTGGGGTGTTTACACTGGTAGAAGTTATTAAAGAAAAGGGAGAAGTTATTAAAATTGTAGCCACAAGAAGATCAGAAGTGAGAGTATAATGATATAAGGGCTCGTGGTGTTGGCCTGAGCTAAAACCTAAATCTGAGGCTTCAGTTTGATGAAGACCAGTGTCTCGCATTAGTTTTGAGGCTACTTCATTTGTCTTTGGTGCTTTTTCTGGACAGGATCAAACCTCTTTTGACCCTGAAGTCTTCTCTTGCCCTGAGGCCTGGGAAAAAGGAAAGTGAGAGCTTATCAGAGTGCTCTCAGAGACAGCTTATCAGAGGACTCTCACCTCATCAAGGTGGAGAAAGACCTCCAAAAGCTAACAGTTGGGTGGAGTAGATCACCATTCTTTAAGGCACATTCTCAGGCACCAGACAGTCAGCCCTGATCCAGGGAGAAGAACGGACACCTCTAGTGTGAAAAGCTGCTGCCTCCTCCCAAGACTCATCATCCATTTCTAAAGCACGCCTCACCCTGCTGCTGCTACAAAGAATGGACAGTACTGGGAGAGCTTCTATCAGAATACTCCTGGGGAGCCGTCATTGTCCACACAGTTCACTGGCTCTGTTTTTTCCAATATCATTCTTCTATTGGTTTTATCAATCCCTTCTGATGCCTCTGCACACCTCAGACCTAGGCTTCAACTCAGGTTGGAGTTAACTAGTAGAGACACGGGCTTGGTTAACGATGAGGGCACTCTCAAAGTCAGTACAAACCCACTTCATCCCCAACAGCATGGCTCTTGGTAAAGGCTTCATGGTGCAGCTCACCGCCTCTCCTGATGAGTTAGACCCCCATCTCTTTTTTTAATTATTTTTGTGTGAGTGTACCATCAAATCAGATCTGACTGGTACATGGGAAGATTGTCCCTCCTTCCCCGGCAGATCATCTGGTGGATTCGAACCATGTGCCTCTGGGATTGTAGTTGCAGCTCCTTACCACTAGGCCACCAGAGCTCCCCTTGACCCCATCTCTTAACCTCACACCTCAGTACTATTTGCATTGATCAGAATTTAAAAGAGGCAAGAGGGCCAGACCCCACAGAGCACGTCAAAGTTCCTGTATATCGTATATCGCTATGTACTAAAGCCTCTGCACGGAAGCGGACCCCACAGAGCACATCAAGGCTTATGCATAACTCTGTGTACTTAGATCTCTGTGGGAGGCTGCAAGTACCTTCAACTGGGAAGAAACACCAACCACTTGGGTGACGTTTACTTCCCTCAGATGCTTCTTGGTCTCTCCTCCTAGGCAAATAAGGCTCACCCCAGTTCCTCCAGGTCACCGTGGGAGCAGAAGGACCCCAGATCGTGACAGCCCTAGTCCCTGGCCACTGCTGGTCGAAACTTAAGCGCCTCCCTTCCCTTCCCAATTCGGACCTTGAAACATGTAAACCCCGTTTTGAGTCTGCAAAGCCAAAGGCAGCTAGGGAACATTCCTACAGGAGCCAGCCTCAAATAGGCCTCTCTAGGAAATTGGAAATTTCACAAATCGTTTGCACTGAGTCCACGTTTATTGGCCTAAAGTGGAAGAACCGGAAGATGCCCTTAAAAAACGTGGCGGCACTCTAGCTTCAGCAAGGTTCCCCAACTATCTCAAGAACCGGGAATAGCCTTGGGCCGCTGACTGGCCCTCAAAAGATGACGCCACCCCGTCCACTTCGATTCGCCAAGGACTATGCTATCTGCCCTCAACCATAATGGCGGCCCTGCCCAGTTTGGCTTCTTGCCTCTAGGGATGATAGCCTGAGAGGCGGCTTCACTTCGTTTTTCACCACCCCGGAAGACGGGGACCGGTGATTGGGCGGTGCCCAGAGGCTTCGGGAAGAAGGCCTCTGGCGGTTGGGCAGGGCTAGGTAAGGCTGGTTTTAAAGGAGCCGGAGGTGGGAGCCGCCGAAGACCGGGGATCTCGGGAGGCGGCGGTGAGCGGCAGGGGAGAAGGCGGGAGGAGCCGGGGCAGGAAACATCCGAACCAACAGTTCCTCGGGTGGGGGTGGCGCTGGGCGGGGATCCAAGGAGAACTCAGGAGGGGAGGTGGTCTGTGGGCGGGATCTCCCAGATTGGAGTGAAGGGGTGTCTGCTTGACAGTGGATCTCCGGGGACCCCGACCGAGATCCACGATGCTCCAGCTCGGGTCTCCCTTGTCTGAGTGGAGCTTCGCAGAGCCGGAGCTTTGCGAAGGAGGAGGATCCTCCTGCGGCGTCTGATTGGAAGAACCGCGCTGTAGGATTCTTGCCGCCGGTGTCCAGTCTCGGGGATCTGGGGAGGAGGGCACCGTCGATGTGTGGGCATATTGCTTCGGAGGCATCGGCTGCTCGCTGGGAGTGGAGGAGGATCGCAGAGGGATCCAGCGGAAGTGGAGCCTCCCAGGACCGGGATCCCAGCGGATCCCGAGGGATTTCTGGGCAGCATCTGCAGGGACAAAGGCCTCGGGAGCCCCTGGCCGTAGGGAGAACTGTGTTCTCACGGCAGGTACCCGGCAGAGTGCCAGTGATCCGGTGATCGCCGCGGTGGCAGCGGGGAGACACCCGCTTCGGGCGGCCGGCGGGGGGCACTCTTCACTCCCTAGGGCTCTGGCCCGAGAACTACTGGGCGCCACGGGCGGACCATGAAGGGCGGAGCCCCGGGGGAGGGACTGGCCCTTACTCCCCGCTCCCCCACTCCCCCCTACCCCAGGCCGCAGCCTGGGATCCCTCAGGGACCCCCCCGGAGCCGCCGCTTTCCCCATGGACTTGCCAGGGGACTCGAGGTGAGAGCGCACCCCGCCCGCCTGTCTTGATCCCGGGAGACGGGGAGCCTGGCGGCAGGACCGGGAAAGCACAGAGCCCGTGACAGGCTCCAGCAACCTGCTCTCTGCTTCTCTTACCCTCCAGTCCATCTGGCCCGTCGCGTCTGTGCCGGCAGCCACTGACCCGAGCATTATGGGCAGCTGGGAGCCCCAAACGGCCGAGGCTGCAGCCCCAGGGGGCTCCCTCGCCCCTGGAAAAGGCCTCTCGACGGGTCCTGGCCGTGGTGCTGGAAGATGTCATGGCTGCCCACATGGTGAGCCCCTTGGACTAAGATACCCCACTGTGCACACTCTCTCACACAACCCAGTGAGGATAACCCCAGTTTCATGCTCGTCGCCCACAGAACCTCCCTAGTCCTGCTTGGCTCCCACTTAATCAGTCCAAAATGAGGCAGAATTTTTAGTACCTATTTTCCACCACCACCACCAATCCTGTTGGACTAGAACCACACCCCTCTGGGCCTTGCATCTGAGAAACTGGTATTCTCAGCTGAACCTTTCAACCCTCAAGACACCCCCTTAGGAAATAGGTTAAGGCCATTGGATCCACTTCATGGATGAGAACTGGGATGTAAAATATGTCAGTGACTCACCAAAGGGGTCATTCCAAACAACCTGGGTGAGATTACCCAGTTACTTGCCTGTGCAGTTTGTTGTTTTGTATATTTAAGTCAGGACAGACTCCTAACTGACCCTCCTGGTATTCCCACAGGAGGAGATCATCCATCCTCTAGTGGAACAGCTGGTGGATTTGAACCACTTGCCTTTGACATTGTAGCACAGCTTCTTACCAGCAAGCCTTAGTGCTTAGCAGTTAACTCACTCTCTCCTTCAAAGATACTGCATGAATTGTAGCCACAGTCTGTTGCCTTTGTGGATGAGGACATTTTTAGGCACAGCAGACCCTATGCAAGCCAACCTTATCTTATGGCCTTGCACTTGACACCTTCTCTTCTTATAGACCCCTCTGGCTCCCCAAGAAGAGGCTTCCACCCTTCAGCACCACAGCAACCGCTGGGATTCCATTCATAGTCGCCAGCCACCTGCCTCGCCATCATCCCAACAGTCTTCATGGTCTCCACAGTCCAGGTGAGCATGGCAAGATGGGAAGGGTAAGCTGGGGACACAGCTGAGCCCTTCTGATCTCTCTGTCCCCTCGTTAGGCCTCCCAACTCTCTGCGCTTATGTCGAGAGCCCTTGAGCCGCGTCCATCGGCCCCCTTCCACTCTGAGGCGGCGGCCAAGGACAAGCCCGGGCCCAGTGGAGGCTTCTTCACAAAAGGTGGACCGGACTCCCCAGCCCACCCTGGTGGTGATGCTGGAAGACATTGCAGGCCCCAGAGCACCACCTAACCTACCAGTACTTCAGGTAAGAATGTCGGGGGTTCAGGTAGGGCAGGCGTTCTAGGAGGAGCAAAGACGACAGGAGGCTTGAATCTGGATGAATTTAACTTGATGTAAAAAAACCAAAAAAACCCCCCAACCCAATCCAAAAGCAGCATAGGATTTTAGGTGGGAAACAAAGCCTGAGCAAAGGCTTCTAGGAAATAGTCTTTGGTGTGAATAAAGACTCATACTGCAAGCAAGCTTGAGACTGAGAGACTTTGGAAGTGGAAAGAACTGGGGCCTGGGAAGCTAGAGAGGCCAATAAGTGGTGTTGAAAAGGACCTTTCCTGCCTCCCTTCTTACATCCTCTGTTTACATCCAGGGTTATGTTGGGGAGACCTCCAACTTCACCGTCCCAGCACGAAGGTAAGAGGGTTAAAAAGGTTGTCTTGATGTTCAGGTGATGGCCATTATCCCTAACCACCAGAGCTCAAAGCACTGTGATTTCCGAATCCAGTTTTTCCTTTTAGCACGCTCAGAAGCCTTAAGAGGGTGGAGGTGGGTGGTTCTGGCTCAGGTGAGATCTGTGCCTGGAAGCTCCCCCAGCGTTTGCCTTGCCTGTTCACTCCAGATCCGAGCCCATGACGATGGATCACCAGCCAGTGCCTCTGCCCAGGGACCTGGAACCCGCGTTCCAGTCATCTGCCCAGGCGGTAGGCCATTCAGAGAGCCCACCACCAGGTAAGGGGCATAGGCAGAGGGACGACACTAGGAAGTCCTAGAAGAGTTTGAGGGTATCAGTTGCAGAAAGTGGGGCTTAACTTCCTCCCTGGGCAGAGTTTGGCATGTTGAAAGTGGTTTGGGCCCCAACGGGAAATTTTGGGGGTTCTAGGTGGCATTTGAAGCCCCAAGGATGAAAACTGGTGTTTGGGGTAAATGTAAACACCTCTAAGAACATTGGATGGCACAGGATAAGTCAAGGTTCAGATATATTGTTCGTAGGGTCACAGTGAGTCATAGTGGAACCTAACCATGACAAGGACACTGGTGGTTCACAGATTTCTCCCCTGCTAGAGAACTAGTTTGATTTCCAGCTATGAGCTTCAAGCTAGCACCTGTCAGTCAGTTTGTTAAGTACCATCAAGTAAGAACCAACTCATAGTTGACGCTCCAGCGGGTTTTCAGAGGCAGCAAATCGCACAGGAAGAGAATGCCCATCTTTCTCCCATGGAGCAGCTGGTAGACATAGTTGACGCTCCAGCGGGTTTTCAGAAGCAGCAAATCGCACAGGAAGAGAATGCCCATCTTTCTCCCATGGAGCAGCTGGTGAATTCAAAGGATGTACCTTTGGGTTGGCAGCACAACTCCCTACCACTGAGCCAGCAGAGCTCCCTAGAGGTCTATAGATTGCTGTGAGGCCAAATAGGTTTCAGTGGAGCTTCCGGACAAGGTGGACTAAGAAGTAAGTCCCGGTGAACTACTTCAGAGAATCAGCCAGTGAAAACCCAGTGGCTCGCAGAGGTCCAGTCAGGACCACTGGTGGGGCTAGAACAGGACTAGGCAGCATTTTACTCCACTGTGCATGGGGTTGCTGTGCCCTTAGGAGCCAGCTCCATGGCAGCTGACAACATCAACAAGGGCAGAGGTTGCTATGTGAAGGTGGGGCTTAAATTTCAAGGACCTGAGATTTAACTCCTGTATGTGGGGCTTGGTTGCTGCAGGCAAAACTTAAGTCTAGCGGGGATTTGCAGAGCTACCAAGGTGGGGTGTAGAGGTCCAGAGCTGAGGAATGCCTACCTGAGACTTTCTCCTTCCTTCAGCCCCAGATCCTGACCTGGAGTCCACATCAGCCCCACCAACGTCCAGCCTTTTACGTCCCCGCCTCAGTCCCTGGGGCTTGGCCCCCCTCTTCCGTTCCGTCCGCTCAAAGCTGGAGAGCTTTGCTGACATCTTCCTCACACCCAACAAAGCCCCCCGGCCCCCACCCCCAACCCCTCCTATGAAGCTGGAGTTAAAGATTGCCATCTCAGAGGCTGAGCAGTCTGGGGCACCACAGGGCGCTGCATCTGTCAGTCCCCGGCCCCCTATCCGCCAGTGGCGGGCCCAGGACCAGAGTTCCCCAGCACCACTCCCGAAGCCCTCCCTGGGCCGAAGCCACTCCTGCCCTGACTTAGGGCCCCCTGGGCCAGGTTCCTGCACTTGGCTGCCTGTCCCACCCCAGCCAAGTCGGTCTCGACCCCGGCGACATACCGTGGGTGGAGGAGAGATGACCCGAGTTCCACCACCCCCTCGGCCCTGTCTCCGGAAAGAAGTGTTTCCACTGGGAGGAGTGGGATCCTCCACGCCCCTCAGCACATCTTGCTCATCCACTGCGCCCACTTCCTCCTTCTCCGAGCCCACAGAGTCCAGGCAGTGCTCTCGGTAAACCTCTCATTGAGCCCTGGCATAGGTCGGCCCAGCGTCTTTTCATAGTACTCAGTGGACAGGAAGTGGGGCTGCTACACTTGTGACTGTTACTTGTCTCTGAGGCTTGACCTTCTCCACAGGTTGGGCTCATCCCAGAGGAAGGAATCAAGGGCCTCGGAGGTCCAGGTTCTTTCAGATCCTGAGACCAAGGTAGGAACACAGGAGAGGGGTGGTTTGCCTAGTGGAGGCCTAAGTAAGCCCTTCTCACATTCTCACCCTCTGCCCCCATTTCTGCAGCCCATAGGGAAGGTTTCTCGATTTAGAATACGAAAGACACCAGCCCGGTCTCAACTCAACCTCACACCAATGGGGTTGCCTCGACCCGTCAGGTGAGAGGCATAATGCCCATGTTGATTTCTTGGCCAAACATGTGGACTTAGAGCCCTGCTCAGTGCCTTTGTTAGGGATCACAGGCCAGCCTTAGAGTATACCATTTAGAAGCATGTGTGTTGAACCTGGACCTGCTTGTCTTAAGTACTCCTGACTTGTCTAGGAAACTGGAATATATATCTAAGCCTTGCCCATTCATTTTGGGAGCTCTGATAGGTGCAGATCTTTAGACCCCCAAGTTTCTCAGTGGCCTCTGCCCTTTGCCCCTAGGTTGAACAAGAAGGAGTTTAGCTTGGAAGAAATTTATACCAACAAGAATTACCAATCACCCACAACCAGGAGGTGAGAAACTGTGAGGGTTTAGGGGTGGTGCAGGGAAGACTGGAACTGGGGCCACACTGGTGACCAGCATCCCTCCTTGCCTGGCCCAGGACCTTTGAGACAATCTTTGAGGAGCCCCGGGAACGCAACGGAACTCTGATCTTAACCAGCTCAAAGAAACTACGGAGGGCTGTAGAGTTTCGGGACAGCAGCCTTCCTCGCTCCCGGCGACCCTGCCGAGGAGTTCGTGCTGCAGCCAGCAGGACCCTTTCTTCCAACCTGACTCCTAACCCAGACGTGGGACCCCTTCTGCAGCAGCGGCTGGAGGAGCTGGATGCCTTACTCCTGGAGGAGGAAACTGATGGGGAGCATCCCCACAGGACCTAGGAGTTCCAGCTAGTTGTTCATCCGTCCGCCCATCCATCCATCCATCCATCCATCCATCCAACCATCCTGGAATAGGGAAAGCTGCCTGAGGGCAGTGAGGGGGTTTTGGGTTTTTTTTCCTTTATATTTCTAGTAAAGTTTTCGATATGTTTCTGATTCTGTTGTATGTCTCTGACCAAGTTTCAGAGTGATGGGTAATATCAGCTGATGTTTTCTACTTTGGGCCCAAAAGGACTGGAAAATGTGGGCAAGGCACCACAAGATTCTGTCTCTACGTGAGCATTCAGTGTGGACACTTAGCAATCTGTTCCAGGTGATGCTGTGACTCTTGTAAGTAGACTCTGGGTAGAAACAGAGTTCTTTTATATCGAGATTGAAAGACCTGATCAAATGGCACTCAATTCCGCCTGTCATGCTGAGCAGGATATCTGCTGCTGGATTCATGGGCTAAGAGTAATTGTTGTGCACCATCAAGTCGAAATTGACCCATACCTGATCCTCCAGCAGGTTTTCAGACAAAGTAAATCGCATGAGAAGAAACTTTCCCACTTTTTCTACCAAGTGGGACACCTGGTGGACTCGGAACCGTGTGCCTTTGGTTTGCAGCACAGCTCCTTACCACCAGGCCATCAGGGTTTCTTTAAGAGTATTTAGCCTTAATAAAGCACCCAACAGCCTGTACGTATACCTCCGAGGAGCAATTTTAGAAAGATGAACGTCAATGCGTTGTTCATACTGAAAGGACAACCCAGGAAGTCAGGCCAAAACTTCACATCCTTTATAACTTAGATGTTAAAAGCACAGGCACTGGAGCTGGCTGCTGGAGTCCAAACCCCTGCTGGGGAACTTATTTGTGTGTCTCTTCCTGTCTCTATAAAATGGAGCTATTAGTCCCTTGTTTCTGGGTGCTTTCCAGTGGGCAGTGACTCATAGCTGTCCCTCCAGCGAGTTTTCAGAGGCAGTAAATCGCATGGGAGAAAATGGCCCCTCCTTCTCCCACGGAGCAACTGGTAGACTCGAACCCCGTGCCTATGGGATTACAGCACAGCTTCTAATCACTAAGCCACCAGAGCTCCTTTTAACAAAATTAGGTACTGCATGAAAGGGTGCCAGGTGCACAAGTGGGATTTCTCGATTGTAGCGCGTGGAGACGCAAAGCCTGACAATCCTCCGGTCAGTAACGGGCGTCCGCTTTCTTGCAGTCGCTCTGGCTGCCAGCTCGCGGCGCGCTCCAGGTCCACCGCACAGCGGAGCGATTCGGCAGAGCTGCCAACTGAGTGACGCTACGACCGCGCGCGCCTGCGCGAGACGCCCGCCGGCCGGTGGGCTAAGCCAGGCGGCGGAGAGCGACGACCTCACCAGCTGTCCAGCAGACGCTTCCGCAGCCGTGCGCCGCCCAGCGGCCAACCGCCCCCGAAGACTCGCGCACTGTATCCCAACCCCCGTCCCTACGTCATTAGAAGACTGACCAATCAGCAACAGGCAGGAAGAGGCGGGGCTTTCTCCCCAATAACCTACTTTTAACCACTTAAGTCACAAGACTTGGAGGGCGGAGCCTAATGTGCTACATACCCAATCCGAGACTTGAGGGTTGTTACATATTGCCCACTTCCCTGATCTTAACTCAGCCCTTCATTTTGACGTAAATTCCTGAACCTATCAACGACTGTGGGAGGGGGGGTAGCACGAAGGGGAGGGAGCAGAGAGAGGAAGGAGGCGTAGGCTGAGGCGGAAGAGGGAGGAGGGGTAGGGAAGTCCAGGCGGAGAAGAGGCCCAAGACTCCAAAGAAGACAACAGGAGAGTGTGCTGGAGCTTCTCCGCTGCCTGACGACCGCCCTGGACCCCTTAACACACAAGTCAGAGGCAGAAGACAAGACTTTTATGTCGGTAGACGGCGAAGCTTTTACCGTCACCGTTGCCTCACATCCGGGACTTTGGAGGGTTGGCCCCCGCGGCCCCGCCCCCCCTCACGCCTTTCATGGCGACCGAAGGCGGAGGCTGGAGGAGTTGGGCACGGAGGAGGCCCCTTTAAATCTCCTTAAAGGGGTGGCCATTGACTCGGCAGACACCGACGCCAGCCTTAAAGGGGAAGCCGCTGGACAGAAGCTGACAAACGGAGAACTGTTGTTGGAAGAACTGGGGCGAGTGAGGTTTCTAACCTCGTTCCCCCTCCACGCAAAAAAAGTCCTTTAAACAGCTTAAAGGGGAAGTCGCTCGTGGACGACTGGGAACTTACTCCCGATTCCTTAAAGGGGCGGCCTGCTGTGAGGCGGACCCTGGACTCCTTAAAGGGGAGGCCTCTTTTAGCCGGAGGACTTGAGACACTTTTAAAGGGGAGGTGAGCGTTTCGGGGCGAGCTTTCGGCCCCTTTTAAAGGGGTGGCCCTTCCTCTTCCTCGGGGAGACTTGCCTCGACCCCCTGGCAGGGGGCGGCCACCGCACCAGGCCAGCCGGACACCGCCGGGTCGTCTTAAGGGGGCCGGGGGCTGGACTATTTGAGGCCTCGCCTTAAAGGAACGACCGCCCCGTTTTCGCCGCCGCGGCCCCGCCGGCCCCCCGGGGGGGCCCCTCGGGCTTGCGGGCCCGGGGGCGGCGCCGGTTCTCCGGGCCTTGGCCTTGGGGCAAGCTCAGGGCCGGCGGATCCTGCTCGAAAAGGGAAGCCGTGGCCCTCTCGTCCCTGTGCAGCCGTCAGCGCCGCTCCTGCGACCCCGGGCCTACGGACAGGCCGCTCCGGGCCCCGCCGCCTCCGGATGCGGCGCTGAGGGCGGTCGTCATGGAGACGGCAGCGGCCGCGGCTCCGGGTCCGGGCTGGGCCGCCGAGGGGGAG